TAGAAAGGCTGCAGAAAGAGTCAGGAGCCCAGAGGAAGGGGCAAAGGAGGCGAGGGGGTGGGGGCAGAAAGTGGAAATGAAAGCAGACAACAGAACATTGTTAGAGGTCAGGAAAAGATGTGAAAGGAGACAATTTTAGAGAAGAAAATTTTTTGGTCGCTACCCAGAATCGAACCCGGGACCTTTGAATGAGAGGCCAACACCTTAACCTCTAGGCCACGAGAGCCCCCCCGAATTATTTTTGCCACAAGAGGAGTGGATGACAGAATCGAGTCTACGGTTCATAGTATCAATTTTGAGGGTAGCCAAAGATAGTACTTAACAAGATGGTCCACTCTGCCAAAAATGTGTCCGCCGGAAGTCCACTCTTTGCTTCAGATGGCGCTGCAGTCTGTTTTGAAGCTCTCTTTCGTTTCTCCAGAAGAAGAATAGGAATAGCACCTTCTTGCGTGCGCAGATCGACTGCTGTTCATCAGCTGTTCGGGTTCGTTCAGTGTGGAGTTTCAGGGTTTTAAAAATTTTAATGACCTCTCGCCTTTCATTCTAAAGTCAAATTAAACGAAGAAAACAGTCATCCCTTCCTCCGGAAGAGTTTTTTTTTGTCAGAGAAACCATTTTTAAAAAGCGTTCTTCCGAAATTTGAATTATTATTTATTCAAAAACTTGTTAGTTTCACTTTGATTTTTTTAACACAAGTAGGGTAACTCTGTTCGCAAAGGGTGCGAATTTGCGAAGAGGGTGCCACTGAATTTTGAGGACACTTTTTTAATTGGCTCAAAGAGAGGAGTGGACCCTCATGTTTTGTAGACTCTTTGGGGTGGCGCAAAGGGAGAGTGGGGGGAGGTGTAATTCAAAACTGTCACCATTTTCCTTCGATTCCTCTTTAACCATTCAAGATCGAAGGCTCAAGATTCACCAGCTGATATAAAGTTCATTTGGTGCACACAAAAAAAAGACTGGTGTAACTTCAATACTTTTTTTTTAAGTTGGTAGAAGTTGAGTGTTCAAGAAAATTTAAGGGTAACGTCGGTAGAGTTAGACTTCTGGAAGCGTAATCATAAGATTGCTGGTTAGGGGTTCGAGGCTCATTGCGGTCCAACTTTGTGTCCTTGGAAAAAGCCCTTTTGACGTATTTTCCCATTTGGATCGGCCCTGTCGGAGATAACGTTAAATTCGGAGGTGCCGTCTTGTAAATAGCTTTGTAGTTTTGAAAGGGGCGCTTAACCTGTACGATTTTGCATTCAATTTTGTATTTTCGGAAATTTGAGAATTGTTTTTATAATATCCTATTTAGCGTTCTGCATCAAGCAGAATTAATGCATAAATGTAATAAACACGACCATGTGCCATTGTTTATGGGCCTCTAACGAATTTTCATTGCGTTTGGACTGACAATTATGGAGGGGTAGCGAATTTTAAAAGTGCACCCAAAATAAATATTTTGGCTACGTTACCAAGATAACCATTGCAAAAAAACAAACTTTGTCCTATGGCTTTTTCATTTCGCAGCTTTACACTTCGCCATCTACCATAATATAGATATGGGAAATACCGGGGCTCAAATAAAGAACGGGCTCGAAAAGGTGTTCAAGTTTTGCATATTATGTCCCGTCGCTCGATCTGTTGATGTAAACCAAAAAAAAAACCTCTGCTGAGAATAGGAGAGGCACATAGAAGCAGTAACGGTCATTTGGTGCAAGGGGGAAATCAAAATAAGCAATCGATTCGACCGTCTTCTCTCAGTACTGAGAAAAACAAAACAAGAAAAACAGACAAACCCAACTAGAAGATGGTAAAAAGATGGAACCATAGACTTGAATAATTATACTTTAGACAGTACACTGTCATGGCTGTCGCGCTTTGCTTTCTATTTTTAAAAAAAACCAACTTTCTGCGATGCGTGCGCATCATAAGTTCTCAAATAAAGTGCAAATTACCACTCATGTTATAGTCAAGAGGGACAGTGCTTTCGATCCCTCCTTACCCTTCATCTGGCTTCATTTACATTCAAATTGAGTCACATAATATGGCGAGTACCCGGAAGTACGTCAGAGTACACGATCTAGTATAATAATGTATTGCAAGTCTTTGAACAGAACCTACCCGTAGTGCGCGCGCACAACAGACACACATACACACACACAAAGACACACTCACACACAGAGAGA